TATTGTAGAATGAAATGTACTTGATATACTTGAGCCGGCAAAGAAGAGAAGCCGGAAATGGGCCGGCGATATTGGTGTTGGAGAGGTCAATAGATGTAACAGAACGAGTTAAAGAGTCGCATTTTACTCCAAACCAGTTACAGGGTGAGGAGTTATCATGGAGATTCCAGTTTGAAAAAACACCATTTGGGTCATCAAATCCAAGCTTTATGGTGTGTAAATAAAGGGATTCTTGGTTTATTGAGAGAATCAATGTAGGTAATAGAAGTATAAGCAAGATTTGAAGATGCATTGTTGAAGGAGATGAATGGATTAGTGGATTTTTTTCTGGAAAAAGTGATTAAGCCATTGTTGTAAGTTTCGAGAGAGACTTCGAAAAATCTTTGATTATATATATATATGTTGTTCATGTTTTTTAGAAAAAACTTTTACCATCGGGAATATGATTGTGTTTTCTCGTATTAGTACTTCGTCCGTCTAATATTAGTTCATCATCTTATTATAAATAGTTATCTTGTATAATTTATTCACTTTACTAAAGTAAAAAGGGATTACTCAAGACTCATAAAAAGAAAAATTATCAACTAATATAACATAGAGAGTAACTCACTTACTTGATTATCTGAATTTTCATCTTATTGATATGGATTCGATTTCTATGTTGTGAATTCATTTTTCCTTCTCTTATCTCTTTGTAACAAAAAAAAAGTTTTAAAATAAATATCTTCTTTAAATTATTTCATTAAATATGTGTTTACATACCAAGAAAAATGTTCTCTTGAAAAATAAATGATTTTTGTATTTATTTCTTGTGTTTGGCGCTGAGTAAGCAAAAGAAATACTTATATGTATATGTATAATCTAGATTATAGACAAACACTATGAAAGTTGCAAGTAGGGGTAAGGGAGGAATATGTTGAAGGGTGAATAAGAGACGTCAGGTGAGATATTATTTGTGGAACTTATATTTTTTGTTTCTAATAAAAAGTTGTTTTCGTCTATTTCAAGGGCATTTTCATGGAAGATTTTTTTAAAAAAAAATAAAATAATCTAGTGTATAAAACATTTCATATTTATGTAAGGATTAAGGATAAGGCCACACTCCAAAGAGGTTGATAATATGGGTGTGATGCAAACAATTTATCATAGAGAAAATATAAATATTAATTTTTATAATTCAAATTCATGACCTATAAATTATAACTAAGACAATTTTATCGTTTCAATAAAAGATCTTTCAAAAGCAGACCAGCAAATATTTCCTCATGCAATGGTGTGTTTTTCAAGTTATCTTGGTAGCTTCAACTTCTAACACATTGTTTTTTTTATCATGCACGACATATTCATTTTCCAACAAGAAATTGTTGGGGTAAAAATGAGATATTATCATTATGTTCCTCATTCTTTGCCTTCTTGTTTTACTTTTTTTTTTTTAAAAAAAAAGCAAATTATAACTATGGACTAAACTGTTTTGAGAATTAGGGTAGAAGATTAGTAATTACACATATTTTCCTCTTTTCAATGGAAAAGTTGGATTTGACTCGAACACTAATGTATAATTCATGTCTATCGATTAGAAATGATAAATAATGAATTCTATTGATTATTTTATTGTTGTTTTTCTAGTAAAGATCCCTTTCATAATTGTCCTCTCATGGTTGAACCCCACGCCATATTTCTCTTCAATTTCCAATCTTTTCCAAAATTCCTTATAGGTGAGTTTAAGGTTTTGCCCTCTTCTCTTTTCTTCTTTTCTTTTTGTCATATTGTTTTTAGGAAATCCACATTCTTCTCTTCTTCTTTTTTTCTTCACATCGATTCGATTAATTCAGATTCATGTTGAAAAAATTTACTTCGAAAGTAAAGTACTTTCCGGGGCGGCTCAAAGGCTAGGCCACTAATTAAGGTTGTTAACTTAGGCATAAAAATAGAATCGTTTTTTTGAAGCTCATCCTTAGAAATTCATTGAACTACTTTTTATCTCAAATCTCATATTTCAAATTAAGAATGAAAGAATATTTAACTGTTTATTATCATAATTTTTGGTACAAATGTATATTATATTGTATGTATAACCCCATCTCGCCTAGCTTTCTCTTCTTTCTATACCAAAAGGAAGAAAACCACTCCATTTTACTATAAAATTACTCTTTGAATGATTAGTTTGTGATTATGTTAATCAAACAAATTAAAAGTATGCAAGATGTAACAGCCTGTTTTAAAGTAAGAATCTTCAACTAGGTTTTGAATTCCCTAGTCAGATTAATTTCATTTAAGCAACGTTGTAGATAAATTCTATATCTATAAAATACAAAAATAAATAGCGAGTATATAGAAAGAAAAAAAAATTTAGTGACGCATCTTAAAACTCCAGCTAGGTCGAAAGTGAACTATTTAACAGTTTTTATTTTATTTTGTATAAGCGACAATATTCCATGAAATCGTTTCAAATTACCATAATTAAATGATATCTTTGCACTACATATAAATATTTTTTTATTAATTATCATTAAATATATATATATATAAGTGCGTAAAACTTAAACTCGTGAAAAAAATTAGTTATAGCTCCAAACCTCATTATTACATTGGGTAGGATTTTGTAAATTGATGTCTTAAAATAAAGGACATTAATTAATGATTTGTGTTTCAATTTTTTCATCCAAACAAATGCAGCATATTTATTCTTTTCTCACATGAAATAATGTTTTAACTTGTTTGATTATTAACTGATCAAATTCACTATTTTATTAAAAAAGAGAATTTAAATAATTAAGCTGGTAGCTAGGATTGTTCTTGTCTGTTGTTTATTTATGTCATGAAACATTATAATAATTTGTCTATAAAGGCCTAGTACATGACTTTACATTATGGCCTGTATTTCTTTTTTGTGACAATAAATAACTTTGGCCATTTATGGTTGTTTTTTTTTTTTCAAACCCAGGGACGGAGCTAGAATGTTATCTGGGACGGATGCAATCTTGTAGAATCAAATTTATTTTAATTCAATATTGCTAATGTTGAATATAAATTTTATATGTAAAGTTTCAATATCAAATTTAAAATTTTAAAATTTTAATAAGTTGAATATTAAGGGTGTATCAATATGGAGAAGAATACTTTTCGATTTGCTCATATGATTTGGTCAAAAGTTTGAAGACCATTTTATCTAGAAATTTAACTTGTTTAAGAATTAGGAAAATGACTTCTCTATTCTAATCAGAGAAAACTAGTCAAGTGACATTCCACATTGAATATGTCATTTACCAGCCTTCGACACACCTTATCTTTACCTTACTCCCACTTGGTCACCCCAATAACAGCCAATGCTACCGAAAATAAGTAATAAACCACATATTTTTCTATCTTGAATATTAAAGGGGAAAAAGTCTGAAATATATTCTAACTTTAATCGAAATTGTTGCTACGATACCAAATTTTGAAAAGGACCTTTTACCCCTCGGCACTATTTAATAGTGTATTTCAAAGGTATATATGTGTCCACGTGGACATCATAAATATTGCATCATTATAAATAGTAATGTGTCCAGTGGGCGCATATATACCTTTAAAATACACTATTAAATAGTGCAGGGGGTAAAATGTCCTCCATAACGTTTGGTATCGTAACGACAATTTCGATCAAAGTTGAAGTATTTTTCAGACCATTTTCCCAATATTAAACCTATAGAATATAAATCTTGAATCCACCCCTGAATGTGATAAAGGATGAATCATTACAAAAAATCATTATATATATTATTATTATTATTATTATTTACAAATATAAATAGGTCAAATATATTTAAAACTAAAACATTATAAAAAATAAACGCGCCAGGTAGGGGTCGAACCTACGACTTTCTGCTTAGGAAACAGACGCTCTATCCACTGAGCTACAGGCGCCTGAATGTTATTTTTTTAAAACAATTTAGTCTGGTCATTCTTCTTCATTTTGTTTGTACCAAAATAACCTTAAATTTAGTGTCATTAAATATATTATATGTATAATTGAAAATAAAAATAAAAACATTTTTGAAACAAAGAAAAGTAGAAGCTCTTTTTGTACAAAACAAATAAAATTTTAATTGAGATCTAAATAATTACAAACAAATAACATCTTTTTGTACGAACAAACTTAATAATTGAGATTTGAATATTTGATGATGACCTTACAAATAAATAAGATTTTAATTACATAAATATCTCAATCTACATATAAAATTTTACCGTGTAAGAGGAGTAAATATTTAAAATTTTAAAATATAAAAATTATATTTAAAATTGTGTCATATTAAGGGTGTGCAAAAATCAAATCGATCGATAAATCAAATCGAAAAAAGTGTTATTGGTTTATTGTTATTGGGTTAACAGTTTTTAATGGTTTTATAAAGAATATCGAAATATCGATTCGATATTGGTTTCTTAATATTGTGTTATTGAGTAAATCGATAACCCATTAAGACTAGTAATTTACTACTTTTATTTGTACATAAATATATTAATCTCAATACATTACTAGTTATGTCTTTGACCTTTAGCTTTAATTAACACTTCATAGTGATTTTGAGTTCACAACTTCATACAAAACGTCAAAATCAAACCATATTCCTCTTAATTTCTCTTTGGTTATATTTAGATAGTTCTTTTCATGTTTGTTATTGTTGTTTCTATTTTACGAACATTTGTAAAGTTACATTATTGTGTTGTCGCGTCAAATTTATTAGAGAAGTCATAAATTTATTTTATAAGTATTTTCTTATTGGTTAAATCAAAAACCAAACTGTTAAGGACCAAAATCGATAAAAAATATCTTATTGGTTTGGTTATTGGTTTAACGTATTTAAAAACTGAAAACCGATAAATCAAACCGATAATATATAAAATCGAACCGAACCGAGTATAAGGGTATTTGATGTCATTATAATTATTTATTTATTTATTTATTTTAAAAATAAAAAATAAAAAAAATGAGAAGATAGGAACCCCCTATTTCTGAACCTAAAACCCCAACAAAGCCCTTTTCACTCTTCTCATTTCCCTTTTACAATTATGGCCACTTTCGCCGCCAGGTCCTTCCTCCGCTCCGCCGCCACCTCCGGCCGATCAGCAGCAACCACCAGAATTGCCTCCGGCGCCAAGCCAAAGACCTCTCCATTCCGCATACCAACTCAAAAACCAGTCACCGCTCGCATTTTCAGGTCTCACTGACAAAAAAACAATTATTCTCGGTAAAATTTCTAGTTTATTGTATGAATTTATGATTGATAGATTTTATATTTTGTATTTTGAAGGTCGCCGGTAGAAATGAGTTGTGTTAGAGTGGAATCGATGTTTCCATTTCATACTGCAACTGCCTCAGCATTACTCACTTCAATGTTATCTGCTACTCCTCGGAGCTATGGTTGGACTCTTGAAGGTATGATTATTGAATGTTGAACTTTCTGTATGTGGATCCATTGATGTATTGATTTGTTGATTGTGAATTTTATGTGTGAATCGTGGATCAATCACTTGTATATATGTATCGAGTTGTTCGAGCGGTATGGTTTTGTTTGGTCATTTATGAATGAAATTATGTTTTCTCGTATCGGATCTTCATTAGTTCTGATATTTTGGCCTTTAAATCAAATGGTAATTGCATTAAGTTGATTGCTTGAGAGTTGAGATAGTCATTAATAGTAGTTAGTATGAGCTTTGAACTTCATTTTGTTTTTGGTAATTAACAACTTTATTAATCACGAGTAACAGTCATTACAAATTCAGCAAAGTCAATACAGCTTTCTAAGGTAATAAGAAGTGCTAAAAAGACTTCACAAGATCAGGCACAATGCAAGTCAAAACTGTAAGCTATGTACTAAGGCTTGTAGTCCAGTTGGGGCACGAACAGTGCACATACATGCCGGATCCTTGGCCATACTTTCTGTTAGAATTAAGTAATTAGCAAAGACAATACACAATCAGTGATAGTCAGCTAAAGTTAGTTAGAGTCGGTTAGGTTTGCTACAGTGCAGTAGTTAGTTATTTTCATACCTTTCATATTTGTATATATACACAGTAATGTAAAGCTTGTACAGTTAGTTTTGGTGAAATACAATTCTATGATTTTACTTTTCATCTTCTCTCTAGAATGTTCCTTTTCTCTTCACCAAACTCAAACTCCATTAATGGAGGATTTTAACTTTACTGCTCCCTGTTTCGACACTTTCCACCATTTTCCTCTTGTTCTCAAATCCATAGGGCATAAGTACATTCAGCAAGCACCATTTTGAAGAGTTGAGATGGATGAGATTTACCTTTAGCCTGCCTGATATTCCACAACACAAAGTCATCCTGGTTTGTAGCAAGACAGTTTAGTCTGTTGATCCACCTTAGTACTGTGGACCTTAGAGATTGAGCAACTGGACAGTGAACAAACAAGTGTTCATGAGATTCAGGTCCTTGTAGGACACAAGTAGGATTAGCCTCAACTACCCATCGAATGAGTCTAGCTGTAGATAACAATCTTTGCTGCAAGCATAGGCACATAGTGAAACAAGCTTTAAGTCTAGCTTGATTGCAAAAAATAAGGCATTTCCAGTGTACCATTGGCAGATCACCCAATAGTTGTAGGTAAAATTTCTTTATCAAGCTCTGACCATGTGGGAGGGTGAAGTCAGTTGCAGCATTCCGTTGAACTTCAGGTTGTTGACCTGAGCGTGAACTCCTGGAAAGGGGAAAAGTAAGTATATGAAGGAGAACAAGGTTGAGGAAGGAAAAACATAGTAGTAACATAGAGATGTGTTGAGTGTTGACAGTAGAATTCATTAAATTATTGTGTTAATGAACTCAATTCTCTAGGAATCAATTATGTTGCAATTTATTATGGTCCAGCCATAACCTATTTTCTTCTATTAGTACTTCCTCTTTCTGCAGTAAAAAGTAATTCTTGAATATTGTAGGACAAGAGAAGACTAGATGAAGATCACGAAATGGAGTTCAAGTTATACAAATATCTTTGGTCTGTCAATTTTAGTAACTGATAACAGTTCCTTTCTTAGATCTGGTGAGGAACCTTCCCCCTATGGTGTAACTAACTAAACAATTTATATTCAAATTTTTTTTATTGCTTTTGGCAAAGGAAGAAGTGTTAGCATATGTGGAAAGGATCAATTGTTTATTACCACCTCTCTTTTACTAGTCTCCATTGTCAAATGTACGGCTTAACTATCACATGAGTGTTCGCATACATAGCTAAACTTGTTGATGTGATATTGAGTATTATAGTACTATCCCTTCAACTTCCAAATCGTACGAGTAATGCTGATAATACATGCTTCAAACTCGAGTAAGGTGACAATGTTCTCTGATTCATGATTTTCTTAGGAGTACATGTACAACATTTACTATTGTATTTCCTTTTCAAACCTGCTTTGATATGCTTTACTAGATCCGAGGGTCTATCGAAAATGGTAGAGGTAAGGTTTGAATACGCACCTCCATCCCCAGACCCCACTCGTGGTTTGTGGGATTACACTTGGTATGTTGTTGATGGTCGTATTGTAGGATTGTCTCCATTTATCCATTTATTCTTTTTTTTCCTTCCTATCTACAGAGAATACTTTATAGTGGTCAAGATTCTAGTATATAAACTCCAATGGAAACTTTTAATTAATTGACTTCAATTTCCTAAGGAATTAAAATTATTCTCCTCTGAACATCATTGAATTATGTCATGAAGCTGACACTTGAAATGAGCATTTGATGTTATTTGTTGTGTCCGTCTGATCGTTGATCGAAATACATCAGATTTGGTGAATCATGCTGCTGTATTTGATTGTTGATGATTTAATTCCATTGATAAGCCTCAAAAAAATTGAGTCAGATTGATGGTGGGACCTAAAAATTTTTAGCATACATATGTTGCGTTTCCAGTTGTAGTTGTGAAGATGTAAGCATAATTCTAATACTTGGCATTTAATCAGATTGCAATGATGATGCATGATGAATGTCAGAGAGTACAAGCAAAGTGAAATATCCATGCGGTGTAAGAACATGAGAAGTAGATAGTGAATGAGAACATGGATGTTTTTCCTTTTTCTGAACTTTTGATTCTTTGTAGTTTATTACCAATGGCGAATCTCTTTTCAAGGATAAATTTGAATGTCTTGAAAGCATTTTTATACTAGTGCTTAATCTATTGTCTTTGTATGGTGTAAAAAAAATCAAGTTATTTAGTAATCTACTAGACAGTTACTTGGGACTATGTTGTTCTTGAAAGTATTTAATGTCTTCTTGTATTGTTTTGTTTGCTAATGCCAAGTTGCTACTGAAAATTTTTGAGACTGTATACCCTAACAGTGTGTCATGGGAGCCTATGGACAATTAGAAGCATTCATGTTTTGAAATATCATAGATTTGTCTTAAACTAGCCTCAAGAATGAAACATGATGAAGAGTAATTTAACAAAAGAATGAAACATGATGAAAAATATATGTTTCCTAGGCTAAATCTTTGATATTTTAAGTACGATCTTAGGTTTTGCAAGTTACAGGTTAAAAAATCGGATTTCTACATTATACTACTAGGAGCAGATCAAAATATGCAAACAAAATCTGAAGTAAGGTATTGAAAAGGAAAAAGAAATTGGTAGGTTTAACTTGTATTTATTCCCAGTGTTCTTCTAGTACTCATAAGCTACTGAATTGTTACACTTTAGTTTCTTGTAACCAGATAAATCTCTTAGTAGATCGAACTGGAATTCGTGATAAATGACATTGAACTGATTAGATTTCAACTTTTGCTGATATTCGGAGTCTGTCTTCATTACGTAAATTTCAACCTGCTGAAATAGGAAGATTAATGACTTGAAGTTTCATTTAATATTGAACACAGTAGTGCTTAACCAAAATATCTTTACATCCTTGAAAAGTGCGGAGTTTTTTAATGATGTGTTTGAGGTGATTTGCACCTGATTGTCCGATAATTAGATTGATAAGTTTGTGATGTGGCTGTCATTGATTGCCTAGCAGTTAAAAACTTAAATAGGCCTTGAGATAACTTAATCAGATTATCTGAGGGACTGAATCTGTTTAGCACATAATATTTTCTTTCTCAATATAGTTCTTCTAATTTAATAATGTTTAGGGTTATTCTAATACTTGATATTCAATCAGATTGCAATGATGATTTATGATGTCGGAGGGTTCAACCGAAGTATTATGTCCATGCAGTCTAAGAGAATGTCTGTATGAGCTCTGAAGAAGAAATATTTGGTTTCTTCTATGACTGTCATTTGATTTCCGTTCTACTCTTCCCATTTGTGAAACTGGGATTTTTCCCTTTCCGTGAATTTAGATTCTTCTGTAGCTTGTTGAATTCTTCTGATGCATCAACTATTGATATCTCTGGCAGTATGCTAGGAACTACTTCTATACTAAACTGCATGACAACCTTAGTATTTAAGTCAAGAATGATCTCTAAGAACCTTATTGCATGATATTTCGGGTTATTTTAAAACATCTTTTTTTCATATAGTAGTTTTGACGACTGGCTTTTCCTTGTTTAGGGCTGTGATTACATGCTCATTGGCTTCCTTTTCAGCTTCAAGATTTTGTAACAATCAATCTATGAACTTCAATAAAACTTCGTTGAACATAGTGTTTAAAATCATGTTGATGCCTTCTGCTTCTCCCGTTTTTTGCCAACTTCTGCTGTTTTACGAGTAATTTGTTTATCTCTGTTGCCTTCCCGTAAGTGTTTCTTCTGTTCTTGGATTGTAGATGGATGATTGTGTTATGCAGTGCATGTCTTCATAGTTCAACGGATATCGATGGACACAATGTAACATTAAGAACCCCAGAAATCTTCTCCATTTTCTGTTTGAATTTTGGAGCTAAACTTTTTTGTATTCTTTCCCATCATAGAGTAGGACTACATCACCAATTATCCTTCTTTTGGAATACCTTTTATTCATGCAGAAATCTTTTCGTGAGCTATCTTTAGATTGAAATTACTAGTTTTCATAATTCCTTATATCTGAATGAAAAGTGATATAGTTTTAGTTAAACAACAAATCATTTGAGTTATATAGAATTCATAATTATCCATTTGTCTGTGATGATGCTAATGAGAAATTTTCATTTAGGGTGTGTGTGGTAGGAAAGAAAACATTTTCCAGGACATGTTTTCCAATTTTTTCACCTTCGGTTGGTCAATTTTTTTTAAAATATTTTCTCTAGGAAAACAAGTTTTACTACTATATTCTATATTGATTGTATTCTTTCCACTCCAAACACATCTCATCTTCACCCTCACCTTTCATAATATTTATCTAGATTATATACAATTTTTTAGGATAATATTTCTTACTTACACACCGAACATGATAAGATAGGTAAGAAACTTATTTATTTTCTTGGAAAACATTTTCCGCCATAACAGACACACCCTTAATCCTACTCTTTTTTGTCACCTCACAACAATGTCATATGTTGCATCTCTCAATCGTACTCTACCCATAAAAAAGATGGGAGCACGATACATCAAGCCTGCGACTATATGGTTTTAACAATGCATCTATTAATGAGAATCGAGTGTTTATCATATTATATATGAAACTCTTATTGGTCTACATTCTACTTTTGAAAGTTGGTGTGTACAATCGATCTAGGCCTATACTTGGAGTTTTCTAGAGGTTGGTGAAATGGGAGGATCTACCATATTAAGTGTTATACCTCGAGTCCTTATAAAGGTAAGGACGGACAATAATAATATATTCAGGATGATCTTACAAGTGGGGGCTAGAGAAGGTGGGATATACATAAATTTTATTCTTGTCTTAGGTTGAGTGATATAGAGAGGTTGGGAAAATATTTTCAAAATAAGTGGAAAGTACAAAAGTAAAAAGTTATGATGAGAAAATTGAAGAGGAGAAAAATATTTACAACAAAACAAAACAATAAAGATAATCAAAATAAAAGGAACAACCACATTAGCGAGACTAATAAGGGAACCAAATAAAGTGTTTTGAACTAGTATCAAACTACTTTCACGTAAAAGAGAGAAAATATTCAACTCTTTCTACCTTAATTCTCGACTTCCGCAATATTGCTAAGCAAAAGGTGGGGAGGGGATAAATAGTTAGAGGGTGAAACAGTCTTTTTCAGATATAGATGAACTATTATTTGATGTTTTTTCTCAATAAACAACATTCCTCTTATTATTATTTCTCTTGGAAATTTCCAACAAATTGCCATTGTTTCAATGTGTTTGATTTTCTAGTAAGGATGATGCTATTATTTTCAAATTGACATGAATTTGTCAATCAATCATGAAAAAATTTATTAAATTCAGTTCATTCTTCTTAAGTCCCCTCTGTGGTAGTTGAGGTCAACAATATAAAATTAAAGTTATATATATATATATATATGGATAGAATAATAAGAAAATAGTATCGCACAAAATAAATGGATTGAAGCATATAAAGGTACTCAAAATTTATTTTGAATCGTGTTTGTCTATAGGGCAGAGCCAGGTGGGAGAAGGGGGTTCATCTGAACCCCTTTCGATTGGTTAAAATTATTTATTTTTAATGTATATTTAGTAGATATTGAACTTTTTTTTACTTCTTTGTTTGTTTATTTTTTATATTTTGAATCTCTAATAAAAATCTCAACTCCGCCACTGATCGAATTGGAGTTGAAACATGCTTTGCATGAACTTGTCACC